TACAGGTACAAAGCAAGTGCTCAAACCGACCCGTGGACATCACATGCCAAAGGAATAGACGGCTTCAACAATTGTGGGACTTTGAGCCCAAAGGGAGCAAACCCAAATTTTAGATGCCGATTTCAACTGCCTAATCTATAGTTTTGTACACTTGTACATCTTATGGTGAGATTAGACGGCTTCGTTCTCGTTTGGATAAACTGTACGGCTAATTGGGTTCATAAAAAGCTGCATGTGATACTAGCGGAAGACCGTATTCCGAGTAAGCATAGGAGTGCATGTCAGTGGTGTATGGAAAAATGTAAAGATTCCGATGAGGGGAACGAATAGGACCTATATTAGCAACAGGTACAGCAGGTACAGGGAAAGTTATACACAACAAGTACAAAGCAGTCGCATCTGTCAAGTATTCATGTTCCCAAATTTATAATATAAGTTAACGTCTATAGATACAAGAAGGATAAGCTGACATGGATTTCCCCCTAGCCATGGGTCCATCCACATAAGAGATGGACCTTTCTAGGTAGCTCTGCAGTCGTAAACTGCCAGCCATCAATAGACAAGTTCATACACTCGTAAAATATAATCTTTTCGACAACTGAAATAAAAGAATGGAGCCAAAAAAGAAATAATATCGACAGCTATGTGATTCGAACACACGCGGGCGAACCCACTCGCTTAGCAGGCGAGCGCCTTAACCACTCGGCCAAACTGTCTTAGATGTGGCAAATTTCCCCATTTCGTACTTCCGAGCCCAAGGAACCCGGGGATTATTGATAGGGAGAGAACCTACAAGGCGTATCCGTTACAATAAAACGACTTTTGTCCATCCGCGCAACACAATAAGCTGGCAGGTATGATCCTGTGTAATAAATTCAAACAGAGCAGTTTTCGTAATCAAAGTTTTTATTGTAACCGTTAAAAGCTTCGACTTTATGAAAAGGGAAAATATGGTGGGACTCGCTTGGGAGACGAATAGCTGGAATTCAACCAACCCACGCTTATTGGGTAGAATTCTTGGAAACTGAACCTTCGAAGACTTTTTTACTTCTTCCCTAGTTTTAACTTTTGCATTATTACTAAAAATTGCTCTAGGTGTACTCTTTTGTTTAACCCAAACTAGACAACGCCTGCCGAGTAGCACTATGGGATATGGATTAGCCAGAGCATCAACCATTTCTTCTCCTCCCCAGAGAGAATGACTGCTAACAGACCACATGAATCCAATTCTTGATCAGAACATCATAACACGTGACAGTTTGGCCGAGTGGTTAAGGCGCTCGCCTGCTAAGCGAGTGGGTTCGCCCGCGTGTGTTCGAATCACATAGCTGTCGTATTTCTTTTTGTCTTTTTGCATTAGTCGCCAGTAGCACATTGTGGCTATGGGCAGTGTGTAGAACATCTTTGTTCGTGGATAGGTAGACTATATAATCCTTAATATACCTAGTTGGCAGCTACTTTAACATATTTTTGTTTGTTTACTACGTGACAAGACAGGGTCTAGTCAAGTATAGTAGGAATGACAGAAATGTGATATCTCTTTAATGCTGAAAAATTTGGGCGTACAGAGGTAGCTAAGATATAGAAAACTTCAAAGGCACTATACAGTCCCTGGTTGGCGGCTAGAATTGATATTAGCTATGTGATCAGTGGATGTTTTTGTTCTGTCCTGTTAGTGACAATACAATGTCTGCTCAAGTATAATAGAATTGTGAAACTCCTTCAATGCTGACAGTTTGGCCGAGTGGTTAAGGCGCTCGCCTGCTAAGCGAGTGGGTTCGCCCGCGTGTGTTCGAATCACATAGCTGTCGATATTTCTTTTTTTCTTTTTTCCTTTTTTTTTTTACCCCTGTTCAATATTTTCCTTTTTTTTTTTTGGTGCATTTGGCATAAATACCAAATCAGTATGGCGAACATTCAAACGAACCAAAGAAATTAGGTAGTACAAGGATATCCTAGCGCATGTTGGGGTACATGAACGGTACTAACTTAGTCGAGTTACATTAGTTCAATTCAGTAAGGATTAACTAGCATGGTCATAGCGGTGTCTCTAGGGTTGTGGATGGAGGAGATTCCCCGTCTTTGCGGAATTGACCAAGGTTAGGAAAGCAGCTGAGTATGTTGCTCTCCATGCACATGTCTCTAGTTGGATGCGTAGGGCAGTGTTCAAGGTTGTCCAGACTGTAACTTATACTTTGGGTAAAGATCAAATCAAAAATGAATGCGGACAACCAATTTTATGGCTGAATGTTTTCGGTAAATTCGATGTCAAAGGCCTAAGAGGGGAAGGATATACCTAGGCAGAGGAGGAAATGTTGGGAGTTTGCATGTGAGAAGTACTTAGCGGGCCATAGTGAAATGTATGACGACAGAAGTACCATGAATGTGATCCTTACTAACCTTCCCGATTGGGCCTAGCGGCTCAAGTGACATCTTCACGTGAAGATGAAACTCCGAATCTCTTGGGCTCACTCTCCCCTCTGTAAGGACCCGCCATGGATGCCCCGAAAATCCCTAGAAAGAACGCCACAGGCCCTCTGACCTCCAATTCGCCCTCTCCCTTCCACCATGCCCATTCCTCCATAATGGAAGAGGATCGCTCTCGTCGAGCTGCCAGTGTACTATCTATGGATGATATCGAGGCCGCGCAGGCCTTGGAGGGACTGCGTTCCGGTATGATATGCCGAGCCCATCGGTCCTGAGTGGATTCCGCTGTACGACAAACAACTCAACTAACGACTCGCAGACTTCGGCCAGTCTCCTCGAGCATCACGACAATCCCTTCCCATCGCTTCACCGGACCCACCACCGCCAGAGCCACTACTGTCGCTACTGACATCCTCTCATCCCCTTATATCCTCTGCTATTAACGGCTCCGTGTCTGCGTATGCAACGTCAAAGTCGTACTCGCCGCGTTTCAAGTCCGGCGCCGAATTTATTGAGCGGAATATCGGCTCGCCTGTCGCAAATACTGTCGGCACAGTTGGTCGCAAGACTGGTGTAGAGAGTGGTCTTCGTTGGGCACTGCAGCGACGAGATTCTACAAACTCGGACTCCAAGCACGCCAAGAAACGGCGCAAGATGGATGGAAATGTGTCGCCCAGAACGGTGGATGTTGAGAAAGGACAGGACGGCGCAACGCACCCATCGCGACCACGGAGTTCCTCAGACTTGTCTATGTCCGAGGCACTACCCCCGTATGATGAGATGAGGTCACCCCACTACGAAGAAAAGCAAGGGCCGCGCTCTTCGCCGACATGGCAGAGCCGACTAGTCATTTCAACATCCGGTCTCGGTGTTGCTATGAGCGACGAATCGCTGCGCAGCCTACAATATTGTCTGACCTGGCTTCGGTGGGCTAACGGACGACTCGGCAAGGCAATCATAGCTCTGCAGAGTGCCGTGACCGAGTGGGAAAATCAAAAAGCCCGGCAGCAGGGCCAGTCTCAATCGGACGTCGAGGCCGGAGGTAGTCGCCAGGAGAATGCCTCCCTCTTGATCCAGCGCATCCAAGCTGTCAAGGCAGATGTCCTTTCGACACTCAAGCAGGTGGTTGACGTGGTGTCCAAGTATGCAGGTGGTGCCCTGCCAGAGAACGCCCGCCATCTGGTGCGTCGACACCTAACCTCTTTGCCGCACCGCTTCCAAGTTGCATCCACCTCGCAGCCACCACCGGATTCTCCGGCTGCGTCCTCCGATGCAACAGTCAGCGCTCACCGTATCCTTGTTCTGGCCCAAGAGGGTCTCGACATGATGGCCCAAGTCAGTGGTGTCGTCAATGACACATTGGTCAGTGCTGAGCACTGGTGCGAGCGCCTGGGCCGGAAACGACCCGAAAACAGAGCTGCATCTGACATGCCGGAGAAGCAGGGTGAATCTGCTTCTACTCCTGATGCTCAACCTTACGGCATGGATATCAAACAGCCTGTCCTTCCGGAGACTGCTCATCAAGAGGATGTTCAGATGTCTGGCATGGAGAAGGCTTAATCCAAGAGTGTACTCTTGACTCTCGCTATTTGTTTCATTTTCTGCATTTTCACTCACTCGTCTATACTCTCTTTCTCTCGTTCTCTCTCTCTCTCTCTCTCTCTCTCTCTCTCTCTCTCTTTGGTTCTGGTCTCATGTCTCTGTGATTTTCCTTTTATGATTGATATCCTCTTTTGTTATTATTACTGTTCGTTGTTTCTATTTGGTAGGAAACTCTTGGGAATTAGCCTATGGTGTTTTTCTGGTTGCATGCGATGCTTGATTCATTTGGAACGAGCTGGGCCATCCTTCTATTCTGGTCATGGACTTTGTGATTTTTGAGATAGATATACGCAAGAGATTGCTGGCTCAAGCTCACTGAATGCAGGCTATTCATCGGTCTAAAGATATTAATTTGTCATTTCGGACTTTGTATTCTTACTTCAAGACATGATCAAGCGGGCTTTGGTCTCGGTTAATTCTTCTCCAATCCCGTTCTCAGGCCTATCGATATGCCCCAGGTCACCCATCACATGGCGACACCCTCTTTCGGCTTCTTTCCCCGTACCCAGCTTATAAGCGTTGCTATATATCGTGACAGAACTCGAGTTTTGGTCCATTTGGACTAGCTGTTTGTTTCACAATCAAATGCTCCTCAAGCGCTCGGCTATTCGATATCCCAGATATGTTGCGATAACCATTCGATAATTTGGTTGAAATCAACCAAGAAAACAGCCACTATGTTTGCCAACGGCATCAAGTATAACACCAAGACAGAAAAAGCGCATTCAGTGGCTCTTTCTAAGTTTGAGTGTAGGAGGACTATGAAGTTGGGAAGCGGAAAACCTCATGAACCGCTTTTCTTTTCTACGCATTTTCCAGTCGCTGCTTTTTATGATAAATAAGACCAGTGTATCATTATCGGTTTAAGAACATCAAATATACCTTGTTTATGTATAACAGTCTTCATTGCCACAGTAGGCTTGAGACATGGCGCTTTTGAACACAGACAGTCTGCCCCTTTCTAAAACTCCTTAGAAATCCGAAACAGCTGGCAAATAAATACCACAGCTCAATAATCAGGCATTGTTTCGCTATTGACATATAACGTATCATACGTACTACTGAACCCATTGAACTGTGTTGCAGTGGTGGTGGTATACGCTGCGAACATATTAGCGTCACAATAAATACTAAACAGGGTCACGACTCACCTCCCATATTCTTATATTTGAGCCAATCACCAATCTTGACTTCAGAGTCAAGAGTTACCTCCCGCACAGCACAATCAGTGCTATCACAAGTGGGCCCCCAGATCGAATATCGATGTCCATCAGGCTTTTCACTCTCTCCGATGGTCTTGATCTTATGTGAAACTGCGCCCTTCTTGCTACCAACCAAATGAGGGACCATGATTTCCTTTTCCATGATCACATTCATGAAATTCCCATAAACGCCATCATTTTGGTAAAGCATATCCGGAATACTAGCAGTAGCTGCACTCCCAAGTTGACGTCGACGGGAAATCACCCGACACACAAGGGTATAAACACTGCGGGCAAAGAAACGACCTGGTTCTGCGATGGTTGTGATGCCCGCAGGGAACTCTGACTGGATCGCATCTCTAAGAAATGGGGCTAGGGTCTCGAAACAATCGTCCTGGAATCCGCCACCAATGTCGAGAAGATAAGGGGTGAATCCTAAACGCTCTGCCTGCAAGAATGCTGCCCGCGCATCTCTGATGGCTTTGCAAAATGATGCTGTGTTTGTGGCGCCGGTTCCTGGTATATGTTATAAAACTTGAGAAATCAAGTTTTCGAGGTTTGGATTGCCTTACCAACATGGAAGCTAACACCAATAACATTCAGTCCCAATTCCCACGATCGTGACAGTAATTCTTCCGTTGTATCCAGCTGCGCACCGAATTTCTCACCCAAGCAGATAAAGGCGCTATCATCATTTGCATAGACTCGAAGTAAGAGTTGCGCTTCGGGCATGTGTGCTTTTATACTATCTAGTTCATCGATGTTGTCAAATGTGGTGCGCAGCACGCCAACTTCGCGCGCAAAGGCAATGGCCGCGGGAGCTTTGCATGGATTTGCGAATAGGATCCGGGCTGGGTCCACGCCGAGGCTGAGAACTGTGCGCATCTCTTCTATGGATGCACAGTCAAAGTTTGACCCTAGATTGGCGAGGACTTTGAGGAATGTTGGGTCGCAATTGCATTTGACGGCTGGAGAAGTGTTAACATTAGATCCAGCCACCAAGGATATTATGGAGCTATATTTTATCTTTGCGGCTGAAAAGCGGAAAGACGGAGAATTTCATACCATAATACGGTCGTATCCCTGGTAGATTCTGGGTCCAACGGCGATGCTGTCGAATGACCTGCCCTATATCGGCAACGAAAAAAGATTCGTCGCCACCAACAAGACAGCGCTTGGCTATACGCGCGATGTTGCCTTCAATTGCGAGATCGACCAGTTCATCTGGGGAAGATTTTCGATATTCGACATTGTGGGGAGTGTGGACGACCTTTCCAGGAAGGTTAGTCTCACGGGGAACGGGAAGTAGAGCCATGACTGTGGAGATGAGTCGGTCGAGAAGAATCTGGGGGACTTGGAGATTGCGGCTTTGAAACAACGTTACAAAACATCTAGCGACCGAACGGATAATGATACCGAGTATATGAATGTCGCTCAAGTAATGTGTATTTAGAAACCCATGTACAGGGCAGAAAGCTGGTTTATAGAGCCTTATTAGCTGCAGCTTTGACTGCGAACAAAAACAAGAAACATTAAAAAGTAAGTTTGCACGCAATTAAAATGCTGCATTACGTTGGATCTTACGGTGAAAACAAGCAATGAGTCGTACCAGTTCAAGTGCTCCTTACAAGCCCCAGTTAAGCTGCGAGAGAGCCAATGATACCTGCATTGAGACATATTCGACGTGTTCTGTAGTTTAGAGCTTCGCGTATAGTATGTGCAGGATGGGCCATGGGGGTAATTGAGCTGCGCCTTGGAATAAGATCAGCAGATTAAGACATTTCTGCACATATGAGGACTCGGTAGGCTAATGTGATGCGATCATTGGCATTTATTGCTTTGTGGATTGCGTGGTGTGGAGTGCTAATGAGGGAGAATGTCGAGCTGTATGGCGAAACTCGAGGAGACATCGACATAGAGTAGAGCATGTCTACTTGCACTAGAAGGCTGAATACCGCGATCAAAGCGCAGTCTCTATTACTGTTGTCGTATAACGTTGGAAGAAGAGCATACATGTGTGAAGACTCACAACGACGGTGTTGGTATCCGAGCTCGGGTATTCAACTCAAGGGATTGAGGCATTAGAATCATATACATGCATTAGTGCTGGTCTAACTTAATAACTTTTATGTCATAGAAATAATTCTAACATGCAGGAACCACTTCGAGCCTTGATGTTGATGTGATACACCGATCTAAATGGGTGCGGCTGACGCCCAACAGGAAAAAAAATTTACCTCCCCACTATGTATGGAGCATCACTCGTTTTAGTTCTTTCAGTGTTCATATGTACTATTGGCTTGCTCGGGCATTTGTACCAATTGTTGCACTACGATCAGATATGTCACTAAAGAGAACCCTGGGTTTTCTGCATGGCTTAAGTGTCTTTGCTTTTTCCACAGGCGAAATACTTGCAGATCTTACCTGTGAGGAACAAAACTCGATTCCAGGCCTTTGAACCCGTACATTCCGACTGAGGTGGCTGGCTAGCATCAATACTGCTGCACTGTACTCCATACATGTACTTCTCGATGTGTTGGAGTCTTACCCAGTCCCACTCAGGATCGGCAAATAAATCACCCACTGTTTCAAGGACACCTTTAACGCATCCGCTGTGCGAGTGTACAAGGCAACTATTTGCACGGCTCCTAACGTCCGAGAAATACCCCATTCCAGGGGGCGATCAGGATGAACGCGCATTAATTCTGCACAATGATTCGTATTCCATTTGCGACATAACTAACTGACCAACTGTTCTCCCACAAGACCATGTCCATGAATTCATTGGCCAGGGTTTACCATCAGTACCTGCTGAGTGACGCAGTGCAGCACTCCACCAGTAAGGGGGATTGCACTGGCATACACCTGCCTGATCGCCCGCTCGGGAAGCAAAGCCTGCAAGATCTCTAATGCATTCTGATCCCTTTCTTCGTCACCAAATTTCGGGATAATCAGACCGTCATTCACGAAATAGAAGTTCACATAGCTCGCCGACAGCTCATCGTGATCAGACTCCACCAAGCCTCGTGGGTCCGGCTCCTCAATAGTGTGGACCTCCAAGCGCCGACCCTTAGCGTCCGTCTCACGGCCCAGAATCTCGCGGATCTCTGCAGAGAGCTCCTGCCACAGGTCAATGGCAATGGCGTGAGGTTTCGAGTACGCAATCACCCCAGGACGCACGAACCTCGCCTCAGCATCCATGTGCACATCGGTAATGTCCACATTGCGCCGACCAGGGAACCAAATCACCTTCTCAATGCCGAGCAGCCGCATCAATTCAGCCTCGATTTCAGCCTTGGACATCCCCGGGTTTCGCTTGTCGCAGACAATACTACTCTCTGTGATGAGCATTGTCCCCTCGCCGTCTGTAACAAGACCGCCGCCCTCAGCCCGAATCGGAGCGTCGATTCGCGTAACGGAGCTGGGGATGGAGTCATGCTCGATAACCCATCGCGCGAATTCTGTGTTCTCCTGTAGTGCATTGTCATTCATCAATGGCCATCGCTGACCCCAACAGACCACGTCATCCTCGGGCTTCTTGCCACCCCACTCGTTGAAACGGAAGTTGAGTGCAAATCGTTGGGTTGGAAATTCCCCTGTTGTGTCACGCACATAGACTGGTCCGGTGTCGCGCACCCAGCAGTGGTTGATTGGACACGGGATGAGGGTTAGTCTTGATGCATCTTTGACAACGGGTTTGACCAGGGACTCCGCCAATTGGATGTCTTCGGGCCGCACGTACATGCGAACGGGCTCAAATTCAGTAATTGTCGCCGCTAGCTGAATAAGTTCGTTGCAAACAGCATCATACTTTTCTGGGGGTAGGGAGCACCGAGATGGAAACCCCATGATTGTTGCTTCATGGCGCTCTGACTCTGCTGGGAAGATGTATCTGCCCTGCTGGATCGTGTGTTGACTGGTTCCTTTTGCAGTATGTGAGAAGGGGAGTCGGCCGTATGATATTGTACAGAGTTTTGAGAGGACCTCGCGGAGTCTCTCGAAGAGATTCATTGATTCGCTGGTGCATGTCACCATCCTGCGAGCCTCAAGATGGAATGCTTGGCTTTTATTAAACTCGCAATCCGGTTGCCTTGATATTCGTGGATTTTGTGCATCATCGACTGGAGTAACTATGACTCCTCGACGTTACGCACAGTTGCCAAGTTATTTGCCTCCAAGCTTATCCTGCAACTCGAGAACGACAAGTATCTCACTCGTGTATTCATGAACTGTCAAGAAAGGGTCTTACAATCCGCAATGCAAATTGGTTTCTTTGAGCCAAATTGGGTATCAAAGGAGTCTAACCGCCTGGCAAACAAGCTTGAAATTATGAGTCTTGCTTACACTACTTGCCTCTTAATTATCTAGCAAATGTAAGTTCCCGGATGGAACAGAAATATTACTTTTGTGTCACTATATACAGTCCAATGCAAGCTTACTCCGCCAGCAAGTGTTCCCGTTCCAATTCATCGTCAGCAGACTCAGTCCAACTGTCTTCTACGACAGCACCGCTGAGGAGAAGCATAGGGAGAGCAGTGACTGCAGACATGACTCCCAACGCTAATGACATAACCTTCCAGCCGTACTGAACCTCAACTATTCCACCCACCATCGGACCCAAGGTAAGACCTCCAAAGTGTGCCATATTCTCTAGGCTGAAAGCTTGAGCTACGACACCTTTGTCGCCGAAGATGTCAGGATCTGCGGCTTCCATGTCGTCCAGAACACGCTGTATCTCGACTACGAGAGCTGATTCGCTTAAGTCGATGCACATTCCGATTAGAAACAAAATCACACAGAGTAGAACTTTGTGCGGTGCTGAGTTGCCTTCTACGAAACGAAGACAGATCAACGTCGGCGCTAGGACGGTGAAGCTTGTGAATGCAATTATTCGGGACCCGATACGGTCTGATAAAAGACCTGTGAAGCGGATGAGAATGAGCTTATGTTATAAAAAGGAGCTGATGGTTTAGATGCTCACCGAAGAATGGTTGGAAGATTGCAGCTGCAGCGCCAGGTAAGAAGATCATACCGGCACCTAGAACATTCCAATGAAATGTATTCTCGACGAAGATTGGCAGAGTCTGTATAGAGCATCAGCGGGAGGCCGTGAACATCACATAAATCGCATACCGCATCAAACGCCGATACCACAAGAGCGCCAACTATCACAGCCCACAGACTGATAAGAATTCTTGGCTGTCGCAAGAGCTTCCCCAGAGCAAAGGTTCCCTTGGAGATAATCGTAACAGAACGAGTCCGGTTAGTGATAGTCCCATATGGCGGCTGCTCAGAGACATAACCATTCTCCTCAGTAGGCCGTTCATTCTCAGCAATGCACAACCAACGCTCAGCAACTCTCTTCTCAACAACAGCAAGTCGCACGAAGAAGTCGAGAGCGACTATCCCAACAGCCATTCCAAAAACCACATACAATCCTCCAACTTCATACACAATTCCACCGAGCAAGGGCCCAGAAATGAAGCCCAGTGTCAGGGCAGTCCCAATATACCCAATCATCTGTCCAAGGCTAGCTTTATCAACTGTATCCGTCACAATCGAAAGACCAGCTACCGATACCATTGCCGTTGCTGCACCCTGGAGTACACGCGCAACAACATACCATGCCACCGAGCGTGAGGCCATGAGTATGATCATAGATGCAAACAACAGCACGAGCCCAGAGAGGTATGGGCCCTGGCGCGTCCCCGAAGTGTCGAGCATGTATCCGAATAGTGGACTGCATATAAGTGCTGCAATGGCTTCTGAAACGAGGAGGACACTGTTCCAATACTCCCCTATTAAAACGACATTGCATTAACGTCTCTATCTTTAGTTCTCTTTAGAAACACTTACTGTCTTCAAAGGCTATCCCAGCTCTGGATACCAAGGCACTTGGCATGACGGGGACGATCTGCAGCCAGTCAGGTGGGGATCGAAGGTCTTGGTCTGGCTTGGAGCATGGGTACCATGGCATATAGGAAAAGGTCCTGGATCAGTAAGGGTTAGCTATATCGTTCTTTGTGTTTTAATCTGGATTGAGGTAGATACCGTAAACATCGACCACGAAACTGCCGTAACGATAAAGGACTGCGACGACCTCTGCGGTAACAGCCACGGTCGCTGATCGCGAAGCTTCAAGAATGGCTTGGACCAAGTCATGATGGATACGGCAAGTGCGAGCCACCGAACTGACTTGGTGATAATGGAATGGGCAACAACCCCGGGGAAGATGAAGTTTTAGCAACGTCGGGTCCCAAAATCGGGCAAGTGGCCTCGTTGTCCTTATGTTCTCTTGGAGCTGTATGCAGTCCGAGACTTAGTTTGCATTAGCATCCGCGATATGGCAAAGATTATTGTCGGGAGGGGCAGTGTGTACAATTCTGGCTGTGATTGCAATCAGGTTTTGCGCTAGATGCTGCAAGGGCGATCCCATGATCACCGCTAGTTCGTGGCCTTCTATTGTTAGACAGATAAGAGAACCCCATCAAACCTTAGGGAGCGACTTGCATGTCCGTCTGCTTATGCCATTCGAACCCGCGAAATGCTCTGCAGAGACATTAGTTCTGTCTCATCGGTATGTCGATCGGACTGTGCCCGGGACGTTTCCACATTATTTGACCATTTTATACCTTCCGAACTGTCATTACTAAGTCGTGAGAAACCCTCTCCAACGTTCGTGAATATTCAATCGCGATTCGGATCTCCGGCGGCAGTCGCGCAAGCAATTGTCTCAGTATTCTACCATGATTTCCGGTTCTTTTGTTGCTAAAGCCTGTGTGATATCGCTCTTTGTCGGATGCTTTCGTACAGCAAGTGTATTCAACATTGCCAAGAAAGGCGTATAAAGCCGGAGGTCCAATAAGCGCTCAATAAGCGCTCAGTGATTGTGACTAGGTGCTCACTGATTACTTAGACTGATCAGAGGCTAATGCCGCTATGTGTAGTTATTTACGATAGAGCTCTGCTCCACTCCGAATCAATCAATTAATTGACCTATGAATCCGGTATATTGTATTCATCTACTGGTATATTGTGTGCTTATTTACTAGGCCATTGTACCTTTATTTCTTAGCCTATTATGTATTCATTTAACAGCCTATTGTACTAACATCCTTATTGATGGAGCAGTAAACAATATGCCCAGGCATAGTTTGAATAGTGTTCAATAGTAAAAGTACGAGTGAATAATATGTCGATAGGTATATAAGATAACTGCAAGGTCGAGTTTCAATACATCTCCTCAGATGTTTTCAACATGGCTTTGGTAAGTCAAAGATTCCACTTAGGCATTTACGAGATTTCGGGTCGCTGATGTCAATATTATCAGAATTATTTCGATATTCCCGCCATTCAGCGAGAGATCAGCCGCGTTACTCGGGCTGGACCCGAGAGTGTCCTGTATGGTGTCTGGAACATCATCCTTACATGGCAATTCCCCGTGCAACAGGGCTATGTGACACGCCCCCAAGACCGTCATACCAGCCAAGCGGGGCAGATGGGATTTTCAGATTTGCATACGTACCAGTATCCGTCTGCACAACAGCGTGCGAACAAATTTCTGATTGTGCAATGCAAGCGGACTGGTCTGGAAGGGCGAGCCGCTACCTGGGACGAAGGTGTACAACAGCTCGATCAATATCTTTCTGCAACCCACCGCACCCCGCATGTCAACCGAACACCGGTGTATGGGATAGTTGCTGTGGGCATGTATATGCGTGTATATGAGTACGACGACGCAACCAACAGTGTTGGGGACATTGTTCATCCCGAGGTCCCCCCTACAGATATAGGCTTGCACCTGAAGAATGATTGCATTGCTATCCAACAGATACTCGACCATATCAAGGCCAATCACTGAATACATAGCTAGTCATATAGGCATGCATCGATACTGAATAACAGACATACTTGATTTCTGTCTTTGGGCGTGCACTGAATAACTGTGAAGTAGGAATGGTAGCTACCTATTGTAAGAAAAGTTCATATTGAGTAGCTAACACTGGCCATCAGCATTAGAGTGGGAATTCCTCTTCAGAATCTCCAAAATCGGCTTGCCATCTTGGCTTCTATTCCTCTGCTCTGTTTCCGTCTGTGTATATATATAGTCTAATCCATTTGGTCAGTTATACACTGAGGGGCTGACTACCCTAAGCTATGTTTCTGAGAACAGAGAGAGACAGCAATATATATGGTATTGATCTAGCTACAAAGAAGGGAAGAGAGAAACTCTCAGTTATCGAACTAACTAGTTACGTGAACTAGCCTGACACCCGAGGCACCAGTTCCTCAACATTTTCCTTCCATCAACCAGTCCTGAGATATTCAGTATTGGTATTAATACCCGATCTGATATTATACTAATAACGAGGAATTCATGACTTCTATAGGAGCATTTGCTAGGTCTTATTCTAACATCCTGTACTAGATAGGCATTTTTTTACTCTTTTTAGCTCTATCATCTAGCCAGTATGAACAAAAGGTTCTAATGTCGCGAAATCTGGCCTTGTGAGCTACGTCCCAACGGCTTTACTATACAGATTGTCGGAATAGATGGAGCTGCAGTCAACAAATTCGATAGAAAAGGACCCCCCAATCAAAGAAATTGCAGATAGAGACTGATGAACTAAATCTAAGTCGAACGCATGGCAGTGTACGAGCTCTGAGGAATTCGGGAAAGGATGTGGATTTTTAGCATCGTTGGTTAAATGGATTCATTAGAATGGTAAAGTGCCATAACTCGATCTGTCATAAAGCAAGAAAGAACGAGGGAACCTGTGATACTACCTTCCAGCAAAATGTCTCTGTCGAATTTATTGAAGATTTGCGATGATTTCCCTAATTGGTCCAAGTAATCGCTCGCGGTGTGCCAATCCACTGGAGTTATACCATTTATCGGAAAGAAGGGCCATCAAACCTAGCCACAAGAGCTGCCAGTCCACTGAATCAGTCTCTAGTAAATCAACCTCGAAGAACAAATCACGTTTGGATTGTAATCGGCTTCTCCAAAAGGCATCTGGTAGATTCAATGCAAACACGGATAACATATTACGCATATTCTGCACATCGGATTGAGTGTAGATGATAGGGCAAATGATTTCCGCCACCAGAAGGGAGATTTCGAGTGGAAGTCTGTTGAGATAGGAGCTTTTGCGTTTTCCAACCATATTTTGGGCAACTTGGATCGCATGTTGAAGCTCGGGTATAATCCATGGATTGACAAAGACATCACAGCCGCGAACGTAGCTCTCACATCTCACGTATGGAACCCCGTCGAGCTGGGCACGAAATATGGTATCTGTGTCATAAACACCCCATCCTTTTTTATGGGTTTGCCAATACTGCATCGCGGCCTGAACAACTTGACCAAGTGTCTTCTCGATCAACTCTTTCCCTACCAGATGGCCAAGGATCTCCCAACAATAATAGTGAAACACATTTCCCATATCCTTGTCTTTATAAAGACTTGGATGCATCCAGTAACATCTTGGATGGAAACGTGTGAATGTTGTATCATCATACTGTGGTATCGCCTCTCGTCCGGAAATTCGTGCGGTGTTTTTGTCTTTTGGAAGCTGGTACGGCTGACCACTGATAGGTGCAACCGAGCCAATTCCCGTGAGATGATATTTTGAGGAAAAAGCATATCTGAAAGCTTGGATTTACTTTAGCTTCAAATTTAAATGTTTCTATGAGAATGTCAACTTACCCCCTCGCTGATAGCAAGATGATAACCAAGGAAATTTGGAGAAAACTTTATCCTCCACTTCGGTCGATGGCACGAGAATATGCTCAGGAATCGGGAGTTTGCGATGGATTTCCCATTGAGACTCCTTGAGCACATCCAGGTGATCGCGGCTCAGTGTTCCCCCGTCAAACGTCAAAATGTATATACCACAAAATAGACAAGTTGCTGAATAATTACGAGGCTCATCGGATTCTGAGGGTTCGTTCGGCATTTTGCAGGGATAAAATATTGCAGGGGTAAAAGAAAAACAGTATAGGAGACAGCCCTGGAGGAAATAAAAGACATGGAGAGTAAGTAGGATGACGAAGTAATGAGCGGCACTATCGGATTTGGAACGTGAGCACTCTAGGCCAAATAGAACTATAACCTTGGAACTCATCTTTTGATCGAATAGACATGTCATAGAAGGATCAGTCTTCAAGGCACAATATGCAGCTATCATTCACTTAAAGATTGGAATCCCACAGGTTGGTATAGAAACAAAAGTCATCCACCGGGATCATGAGATCATAAACACATTATATTCCAAAAAGTTTCAATATAGACAAACGCCTGGCATCATAATATCAACATCAAATCATAGTAATATACGCTTCCAAGCTCTGCCCAAGAACATTAATAAACGGCCACTGAGTATTTGTTCCAAACAACCTAGCCCACAGCTTGAGAACAGTCAGTCCCAAAGAAGCCGGTTCCAGATCTGGCGGCGCCTCGCCGTCATCCGCATCACTCATCATTGTCCCATGGTTGGCCGTTGGCAGATTGAGAGGTTCATATGTTAGCCTCGTCTTTTGCCCCTTATATTGCTTACTTCTATATCAAAATTCATCTTTGTATCCTTCGGCGAGCTTGTATATTGCGAATCAATAACTCTATACTCTAGGGACTTAGGGGCCTAAGCCCTTAGACTTATAATCTTCGTAGAAGCTAGGGTAATAGGGATAAATAAGCGATACGTATTAAAGGACTAGTTGAATTTGTTAACACTTATAAAGCGTGTCAAGCTTTTTGTTCAATTTCTCAAGTATATTTTGGTTTATTTCTACCACCAAAGCAGAGGATTTAGTAGCTAAGAATCGAAAGAAGTCCGATACGGTGGTTGTCCTGAAGCTCCTCATTTCTCGGGGCGCTCCAATCACCGCCATCATGTATCAAGATCATCAGCCTTCCTGGAACATGAACCTTTTTATGGGAGAAACTCCTCTCCACAAGGCAGTATTCCTTCGCAAAATCGACGTCATTAATTGTCTTCTGAGCGAAGGAGCAGACTTAAACATCAGAGATGTCAGGAATCGAACAGTTACACGATGTGCGGATGAATATCTTCGAAGGGAGCTCACAAACAGCTCACAATACTACTAATTCCGCGTTGTCCGAAATGCCATTGTACCAATGATTCGTATAAGTATTGATCAGAGTTTCCATGTTCTGAGATTTTTCGCACCATCATGTGAAGTTATATCCTGAGCCTAGATATGTACAGTGTCTCTAGTCGCGCTATACATAGTCAATGTCGATTTGGTAACATTTTTCTCTCACGTGCAACTGTAGTGGCTCCTAGGAGTACGTGTGAAGCTTAAAATGTTCCCAGGAGCAAGAAGGAAAAACGCTCTTGTTCCTAGGATACTCTGGAGGAGCCCTCAGATAGGTGAAATCCACTTCTGAAGGCTAGCATGTTTCGCCAGGACAGTTTCATGAGTCGATACTTAGTTGATGGCTCTAAAGTGAAATTTTATGATTCATAATACCACCAAGAGTATTGTGGCTATCTGTCTCAAAGCAGTGGCTGTGCAAGTTCAACAGAGCCCCTCTAATTACCTTACATTGGTAAATGTCGCAATTATCTTACGAATACTGCATGAAACCGGGTCTATAATCAATCCGAATGGCTTTCGGGTAAATAGTATATCCGGAGGTTAGTCATATAATGTAAATTGCCTTACAAATAGCAGGAAATAGGGGTAATGCAATACAGAGTCATTGATATCTCCAATTGGACGGATACGGTAGAAATCGTGACACGCTCCATGCTCTGAGCCTTGCCCTCAAACCATTGAGCCTCACCCAGCCGCAGCAGCATCAGGGCATGAGTCTGATAGTGGGACACCTATGGTCTTTGACGAGGACTTCCGTGGCCCACCCATTGTGTTTTTGAGATAGCTTTACGATAATAAAAAAAAAAAAAAAAAACTCTGAATATATTTCCGGAGCTAACCATCCGTACAGAAGAATTTCCCTCAGTGAGATCTACTTTTGTACTAAGCTACCTTAGCTGCTGCGCTTTGGGAACTCAGATAAGTTATAAGGTGTCTTGATCGCACATAAACCCCATTACGCTCGCATCCTCTCTTACACATTTCCTGTCTATCGTGCCGTACTTGACAGTGGGATCTCGTGGGACTGCTGTTGTCTGGTGGGAATACTGTTGTCCCGTCAGACACTGTCTGTCTCCTCAGATACTATTTACACTATGGATCATCGTATGCATAGTTGCGGAAGGCGGCTGGGTCGGACGTTAGTCAAAAAGATAACTTTTCTGTTGGCGAGTTTCTACACGCTAACTGGCCAAAAAGGAGCAATGCTAATTCAGACAACGAATTGCAAGCAACTGCCAGCTGGCCAGATTAGCAACTTTAGGCCAGGCATGGACATTGTGCTACCATGAAAACTAAAAAGAGAACGCCCTATAATCAAAACTGCCACAGGTTTAAATTTGATTTTTTTGGCCAGAAATATTCTTGATACAACAGAGTCCTCTATTAAACACTCTATATTTATGAGATATAGCGGGGTTTGAATCCATATGCTGAGGAACTTCCATGATCGCGTTCGGTCTTTATCAGCAAAGCCTTCTCATAACAAACAGAGCTAAACTTTTAGTAGAGGATTTTCTAGAGTTTTAGCATCATGCAGAGTTTTGAACCTGTATCAGCTCTTTGAGACGTAATGACAAATTTAGGGCGCAAAGTAAAGGTGGATATACGGTCATCTAGTCTATTGGTAATCTCCAAATTTCATGAACAAAACGAAAAGAGATGGGAAACATCTGTCATCTGCGCTACCTAACCTAAGGTCCAAAAGTTGCCAACCCCTTGGCTAATCGCTGAATCTGAGTCACATAAAACCCCTGCAGAGACGATATCGCCGTCAGCATCAGACTCTCGACCTTCTGAGAATATCAGGAGTGCTTACAGTTTCGACGCCTGCACCCAGCGCTTTCAAGTCCAGAAACTTGATCCAGCCCGGCAGAGGTACTTTGGCCAGCACCAGTTGCGCCTCTTCATCGGGAACCGACTTATCCAGAAGGAGCTGTGGGAATTTGGGGTTGATGACGGCTGGGCGGCCGATACCCACAAGGTCTCCCGCCTTGCTGTGGACAACTGCTTCAGCACCTCGCCGGCTGCGGATTCCTCCGGTCACCATGAGAACGAGATCAGGGAAATGTTTACGGATCTGGGTCGCGAAGTCAATGAAGAACGCCTCGCGGGCAAGCGTGCGCTCGCTCTTTTTCGCTTCGACCTTTTTAGGTAGGTGGTCACGGCCCATCATCTGCCAAAAGGTAACTGGTTAAATACCACAACAGAACATAAACGTCAGGATAAGATAAAAGTACCTTCGGATCCTCGGCAGAACCCCCGCTGACTTCCAAAAAATCGATCCCAGCCTTGATCAGGAGCTCAATCTGACGCACTGTGGCGTCAAAATCGCCCGAGTTGTGATCTGCCGAGTTGAGCTTGATCCCGATACAGAACGTGGCTGGCACCACAGAGCGGATGGCTTTGATGATCTCTACGACAATCTTGGCTCTCTTCTCAGGGGTGCCTCCGTACTCGTCGGTGCGGAAATTGGTCTGTCAAACAATGTCAGTTCGCAATAAAAAAGAGAAGCCATGTTGTGAGAGGCGACGTATCTCATACCTTACTGGTGAGAAATTGTGCTATATAAGAGTATTCCTAGTTAGTATCTTCAGACGACAGCTTTGAGAATAGATCAGCGTACTGAGAAGATACCCATGAGCGCCATGGAGTTGAACGCCCGCAAAGCCACTATCTGCCATGAGACGCGCCGTGTCAACAAACAGATCGATAACTCTCTTGATATCTTCTACTGTCATCTCCCTGGGTGCACCAAACACCAGCCATCGAACGAACTTCGCCAGCAAGCCATTCCCCATATTCATTGGGACCGCACTGGGGGCCATCGTCTGGGTGAATAGGCCCCTGCGACCTGCTCCTCGCACAGACTGCCGACCTGGATGGCAGATCTGCACAATGGCTGGCGTGCCTTTTTTCTGGCAGGTGTCGGCAAATAGACGCCAGATTTCAATATTCTTCTTCATGTATGGGCCTGTAGAGGGATCTTTGGTACTTCCTACATACTCCAAATCTACCTGGACGTTACCTGAATGAGGGAGAGTCAATAATTCCCACTGTTCTATATATGTGAGTGAGATCTTGTCCTTTCTTTCTTACCTGTCAGAATGGCACCCCAAGACCCTTCTGCCCATTTGCCATACGCTTCGATAAAGTCCTCATTGGGTAAGCCATCTTTGGGATCGGCCATCATTTCAGCCATGGCGGCCTGAAATTTACTCTCAAGTCAGCCAGGGGATAGTTCTCATGCCGCCTCGCGCTATGCGCCCCTTCCGCATTGAACAAAGAGCGTGATTGCTCACTTCTTCTCACCTTGACGAAACGGTTGGGGAGTTCCAACCCGCATGGGAGTTTCACGGGGTCAGAAAGGGCCAGCGCCATGTCGAAATTATAGCACGGATGCAATAAGTGAATATAAGGTTGGGGGGAGGGATAAAAGTCTAGATGAAATGCAGGGCAAAATAAAAACAATCGTCCGTCAGACGACTTCCTCCCTCTGAATTGTGTCGGACAAGGCAAACGCGATAGGTTGCACGCTAGATATGGCTCCGAAGAAGCATTCTGTATATAAACTACATAAAAGAAACAACGTTATAATTAGCGACCCTAGTCTAGTTTCGCAGCAGCTATCGACCTTGCTGAGAAAGATTTCATCCGTTTTGGTCCGGATATCATTTCGTCGTCCGGATGACGAAATGATATCCGGACCAAAACGGATGAAATCTTTCTCAGCAAGGTCGATAACTTAGTTATGTACCTTGGTATTACGGAGTATCCGTCCGTCACTGTACTAAATATGATCTATATATCATGTTTTTTCCACGCTAACAACCTAAATAGTGGAACCCACTTGGTCCGGTTGACTAATTCGCATCAAGTTTAATTATCGTTTTCCAAGGTGCAGACGCTTGACAGTGACCTTTAAACATGGAAACATTTCGCTTCGGTCTCTGGTTCCTGTGGAGGAATAATAATATTGGAGGAAGTTTTACATTAACTGCTTTAGACATTTGGCCAGTGTATCCGAATACAGAATTTGCGTATTTAAATTTTTTGCCGGTCAATTCCAAGCTGCTGCGAAACTAGACTAGGGTCGCTAATTATAACGTTGTTTCTTTTATGTGGAATAGGAAAATGGCGTACATCAATACTTTGTACGTATCAGACCACGGGTTTTCGGGATCGTGACATGTGTTCCTGTGGCCCTAAAAAAAAAAAAGGCTCGGCATCCTCGACATCCGTTCCAAGACCCACAGCTTAGTCAGGCCGTCCGCTGACCCGCGGAAGCTCATTGGTCGCCGGGATTTTTTTAAGTTTCAAGTTTTACGGCTTCACCGATAGCGTGCGATCCACCGAACCGTTGACCCACAATTATACCAATTGTATCAAATTATGCCAATTATACAAATTGTACCAATTATACTCGATTTTCCTTTCAACTGCCTGGCGCCAGCGGGATCGATTTTCCTCCGATATTGTAATTTCTAATCATTTCCAATGCTTACAAACCGGGGGGTTTTTTCATTGATAGGCTATCCAAATCAGCTTCAATTCAAGGGAATAACCATTTATACAATTGCAGGGCCTTGACATCGAGTGATATCCAGTCTTGAATTGTAATTTTCACCGCTCATCTATCAAGTCTCCCCGTGTTGCTGATCTCGTCATGTCGCAAACTACAGTTATCATTATTGGCGCCTCCTACGCCGGTATTGGCGTGGCCCATGCCATCCTAAAAGGCATCCCTTCTGTCAAGGTCATTGTAATAAACCCTCACAACAAACTATTTTTCAGTATCGCGGCGCCGCGCATTCTCGCCAAGCCGGACGCCTTCCGCCCAGAACAATATCTCCTCTCCATCCAGGGTGCATTTGCCCAGTACCCATCGGAATCCATTGAATTCATCCAGGACTTTGCAACTTCCATCGACTCAGCCACGAAAACCGTCACGGTCAAGACCGGCGCGTCTTTCTCTTATGACTACCTCGTCATTGCCTCGGGAAGTACCACGGCTTCCTCTCTTGGTAAAGGAAGCACGGTAGCCCCGTTTAAGCCGTCCAATGCCAAAGATATGGAGGCCGTGATCAAATCAGCCCAGCAAGAGGTTGCTGACGCTAAAAGCATCATCATAGCCGGTGGGGGTGCTGTCGGTGTCGAATTTGCCGGGGAAGTTGCAGAGGCATTCAAGACCAAGAAGGGATCCAAGATCACGCTCCTGACGCAGACCAAAAATCTTTTGCCAACATTGAAAATGAGCGCGGGCATCGCCGCGAAGACTATTCTGGCGAAGCTCAATGTTGAGGTTCTCACGTCTCGCAAGGTCCAGACGGCAGAACGGGACAGCGAGACCAACAAGTGGACGGCAACGCTCGACAACGGTGAGACCCTCACAGCAGATCTGTACATCTCCACCACCGGGGTAATTCCGAACAACAACTTCATCCCAGCTGAGTTCCTCTCCGTCGACGGCTGGGTCAACGTCGACACCCACCTACGCGTCAAGAGTAGCTCCACCAAAGGCGGCGATCCTCTCCCCATCTACGCCCTAGGCGACATCACCACATATCCTCAGCGATTGGCCTATAAAGTTAACGAGCAGGTGCCCATTGTGGCTGCAAACATCAAGGCCGGCATCCTGGGCCAGGGGAAGCGACCCGAGTACTCCCCGGGAACAAGAGTGATGATGGTCGTTGGTACCGGGCAGGTGTTCTTTGGCTGGGTGCCATGGGGCTGGCTGGTCGCATTCGTCAAAGGAAAGGATTACTTCATTTCCAAAGCCAGTGCAGTGGGTTGCTGATCGGCAAATAAAGACAAAATAACCTGTATTTATCGACCAAGTCCGACGCACTCTTTGGGCTCCGAAAGGAATAAATGAATGCGAATATAGGCCTTATTCATATTCGCATTCATTCTATTCATTCTATTCATTTATTTACATTAATAGTTTTTTTCTTTTCTCCGGTTTTGGTATTACGGAAATACCAGGGTTTAACGTAAACACTCAAAAGGAATTACCATCACGGCCTCGGCCAAGCAGAAAAAGATAACAATTAATTCGCAAACTAACTCGCTGACCTCATCTACCCTGTTCAGTAGTTTTAGGTAAGCCTTACGCATTTTGTGGTATCATTTTTAGCGATCTTTCATGGGCGAAGATCAAATTTGGTGACCGGGAAAGTTGTTACTATCGCCATAACAGACCAATGCCCTCGTTAAGATGTACAAACGTTGGTGAGGGTAGTCAACTGCCCGGCACCTGCGTTTAAAGATGCTGGCCTGGGTTGATCAGCTTCGGGTGTTAAGAAAAGAAATACTGTGGGGTTCTTTACAGAAACAGCTTGTTGATAAGCCATGGATACCTGGTCCTGAGCCTCAGAAATCAGAGCAGCCATACACGAGCAGTGACTCCAGTGATGAGAAATAAACACGCAATGACGAGCAAAGGCGGGTTCTGAATGGTACGCTGCACAACACGGCCTGCATCATTGGTTTGGCAAAGCTTTCTCGACTGGAGTCGACGTTTGTAACGAAGTGAACATGCCGGGGATGACCAGATAAAAATGCGGGCTCATTGGTGCGGTGATATACATGACAACATGGCGATGACGGTGCCGCTGAGTAAGTTGACCCATATACATGCCCTGATCAGGGTATGGACATATCGGTGAACCGGCCTCTCCGCAATTGGAAGACAAAACTCAACAGGAAAGGTTCGCGGCCCATGAATTGCTTCATGTTGTACCGGTCTGCCTATACAGGATTAATCAAAACACTATTGGGTCGACAATGCCATCAATGTGTCCCCAACATCACAGGCAAGAGCTGGCATGTGGAAACAGAAAAAGTCCGTGCAAAATATAAAGGACTGGCCAAGCTCGAGAAAAAGTGTCATGCTACAACGCATACTACAAGTTGAACCCGAAATAAGAATGGCTATCTGTGGCCAAGGCTGCGGCAGACCCTGAGAGCTGCGACATTTCCTTGCACAACGGCTGTGAGCCCTATCAGTCATCCCTCCTCGGGGCCTTGTGCTGAAGGCATGCAGGGTTGTTCTGCCGGCTCCTCGGCAGATAGTATCTAGAGAAGCTGCTCGAGTGGGTTAGTTGGGCTTCCTAGTACCGCGCAATACGACTTTATGTACCCTGAATCTAGTATCTCCACCGATGACGGCAGCTACGTGGACCCTCAGTGGTAAACAAGCCTATGGCCTATTTCTTCCTCGGTCTAGCATGGGGAGCTGCCATTTAGAGCTCATTTGTGGACAAAACCCTGTAGGGCTTTGACTTCTCCGAGTTTGCATTGCAGCGAAACAAGAGGGATTGGTATCTGTCAATTCCAAGAGATACTGTACGCGCTAGTTCTAAGATAGACCAATTGGAGGCCTGATGGCATAGAATGAGTGTAATTGCTAGAAACTGTCTTAGGGGCCGAATATATGGGCCTAAGGTGGTTTACCAAGCATAAAATGCTTGCCGAGCAGCTTGGCAAGGAAGCTATCTAACATAGTAAATAAGTAGGGCATTCCTATAAGGTAATACTTTGAAGGAATAAGGAGGGAAGGTTTTAGGGTTTATTGCCAAGCCTTTTATGTTTCTTGGTATTTAAAATAGACCAATCATATCTAATGCAAACAATGCAAATAATTTTGCTGTGGCAGACCCACATTTTGCTGAGCACCTGAACAGCGTTCTCTTAGAGCCCTACTTTAGAATATAATATATCAATTTAAAACCTAGTAACTCTCTAATATTCGTTCGTTAATATAACATCTTAATAGGTAATTAATTATACGCTATATCTACTCTTTAAGATTACAGAGCTATTTCTTAGAATTTCAAAAGGTTTATGCTAGGAAAGCAAAGTGTTTCAGGGTATAAACCAGAACAGATATAAAAACAGTAAATTATTTTGATGACCGAACAGCTTTATGATCAGAATTATGCAAAAACTGGGTCGAGTTAGGTCTATATTGGGTTTTACTGGGGCCCCAGTATTGGGTCCGGGTTAGGTCCGGGTTAGGGGACTTCGACCCAAATTGGGTTTTGCGGAAGTCTATTAACAACCATTGCAAGATAGCGAGATCCCTCGATAGAGAATCGCCTGACTTCTTCGGCGCTTTGCCTATAGTCATCCTTGTAGGTGACTTTTTCTAGTTCCTACCTATGCGAGGCCTAGCATTGTGGAAGGAGCCTAGAAAGGGCAATGCGGAAGATAAAGATGGTCGACTTATATAGCATTAGTTCAGGAATATGATCATATTAGACGAGCAGATAAGGTAGTCTAGGGATCCCAAAATTTTGGGGCCTCCTGTATCGAGCGAGGACATTAACTTACACCTTTAACTCTAGCGTTATCACTTCCTTAGTGGCCCCTTACCTAGACGGTGCGACAAAGGTAGTGAAGCTGAATTCTCTTCGCCACTAGATTAACTGTATTCGAATAGAACATTCTGCTAAGGCCTACTATTAAAAGATCTATGCCTTTCCTGCTTATCACACACGAACCAAGTCCACTGGTTCAATCAACCTTCGCTTACGTGTCGACTACTTATTCCAGCAACCAGATCAGGGTACTAGTATCCCGTTTCCGGGAATGTTTCTGTACACCCTAAACATGCCTTTTGCTATATTGACCAATATCTGTACCCGGTTAGGACAGGTCAATGGTGCGACTAGAACCGCTATCGGTGTTATGATTGACCTAGCTAGCGAGTGGTCCTCCCTTACGCATAATCGACAAATCTAACGTTAAATATTTTAGCCGAGTTCTATGAAATTGACGATCTATATATCCTTTGCACCAAACCTCCCGCGTGTGTTTTATTCAAGCAGAACAAATCGAGCACTTCTGTTTTCGAAGGTCTTGCGCCTGCTAGCGTTCCTATCTTCCCCTTAGAGAGGTCGATCACTCTAAAGGGTTACTCTGTCCGTAGGAAACAAGTCCCTATGTGCCCCGCGTTCTGCCTCACCGACTACAAAGTGCAGGGCTCCACGCTAGCTCTACGATCCTAGATCTTACAGATGACCCGACGATACGCGGTCGAGACCGTCACCAAAAATCCTGTTCGACCTACGTACAATTATCCAGATTACGAACGCGCAAAGGGCTTCATCTTCTGCAGGAAATCGAGATAAATGACCTCCAGTTCGAACCTGATCCCCGGATACTCGCGGAAATGCAGAGACTTCAGGGGCTGCACAGAATGACTGTAGACGAATGGGAGCATTCACGTTAGGGACTCCATTTCCTACATAGTATAGCTACCCGACGATATCATGATTCTCATCAAAAGTACTCTCCCTCTACATCCAGCCTTCCAGACTGCAATCATCCCACAATCTCTATCTCCTTTTCGCCTAACCTAGCATATGGACATGGAAAGACTGCCAACTCTTAATAAACCACTCGATGACTGGGATGCACATTATGCAGTCGGAGGCTTTCCCCTATTCTTCTGCCTGTACTCCATTAGAGAGCCGTGGCCCGGCCGATCTCCCCCAAAAGCCCAATTCCCACTGCCTCGGCAGGCTCTCTCCGAGCAGCTATTGAGCAGTGCTTAGAGAATGGTCGACCTATTATCTCTGATAGTGGTCGGGGCGGGTTTTGGCGAGGTCTAGGCGAGACCGTTCGTCAAGTGACCGGGTACGGTAGTGCCAAGTGGCAAGCTCGGCAAACCACTTCCGCCACATATTCCATCACTTTCCCGACTCCGTCAACAATCTTATTGTCAGACAAAGGCCAAAGAAGAACGATGCCAAGGTAACTTGCGCAGCTTTTCACGCGCCGTATAATGGACGCTGCCAGTCGCGAGCGAAAACGGGCGCACGACCGTGAAGCCCAACGGGCCAACAGAACACGGACACGGGCCTATATTTCCCAGCTTGAGAGCACCATTGCAGAGCTTAGCCATGTCTCAGGGGCAGAGCGCCCAACAGTATGGCAAACACAGTTGACGAAACAACAAGATGAAATCCAGCAGCTGAAGAAAACATTGAGCAAAATTACAAAGTTGGCTCAAGGAGTCGATGGTCGGCGGTCCCTTTCTGTTTTCTTCCAGCACATCTCCTGTAAGAATGTTATTCAAGATCTGAATTGCTGATTAGGTGTAGGCGACGCTCAAGATACACAAGAGAATATCCAGAAATCAGAAATTACCAGCCAGGGGATAGATTTGGATGTCTTGTCCAGTCATACCTTGTCCGTCGGATGGTCGTCTCACGAAGGATGCTCAATGTTCGGGCCCTATCCGTCTAGTAATGTGGACGGAGCAGGGCCAATTTTACATGAACTTGGCAATCAAAACTTCTTTATGATGCTGAATGATGCCATTCTTCGGCTGAAGGTGTCTTCTGGCGACGCGTCTTTGTCAGGAGTAGAAGACGACAATGATATATGCATTCGAGCTGTACTTCATGGCTGGAGGGCAGCTGAGCAGAAAATCCCCATGGACCCTGCGTGGCAATTACTCCGCGGAATGGATCAAACTTTTTTTTGCCATGCTGGCATAGTTGAAAGGGTTGCTATACTTCGCGTCACAAGAGCCATGCTCGTGGTATGTGCTCCAATGCATCTTGATCAAGGGAAGAGAAACCTCCCTACTGACCATGCCTCTTAAGCGGACAATCTGCTCTCCTAACCGACCTCAACGAGAGATCCCATCCTTTATGAAACCAAGGTACATATTAACTCTCCCCACGGGATCATGGAGGACAGGTAGGACATTATATTTATCAAATCTAACATTATCTTTTAGTGCCCTTCAGGATATTCTGGAACATAATATACTTGTCGACTTTTTCTTCTGGTAAATACAAATCGAACAGTTCTTCCCCATGAAACAGTCTATCAAGCTCTCTATTCTATCACTGTTTAGTGTGAGCTAACCTGTTTATGGATGGCAGGCCCAACTTCCGAGACCACCTCATCCTCACGGGTTGGAGTTATGCAGAGGAACAACACGCTAGAGATTTTGTGACTCGCATACGCTTCTGCTGGGACTACGAGTTCCGTGACATCTACCGGAAAAACAAATCAACTGGACATTACTCGTTTTCACAAGAATTCAACAATACATATAATGATCTGCACAACTGGGAAATGCCACCCAGCAGCTCATTGCCTTTTGATGTATCGGTGTTTTCAGCTTCTACAAAGCCACCGAATTCTTCCATAGTCCCATCTCACCCAGTTGCAGTTGCGAGCGAGCGAGGATACATGACGAATTGCGGTATGCCTGACGGCACAATTAACCCGGTGCTTCTTTGATTACAAAGATGATCTGGTCCTTTTTTGGAGGCGAGATGTTCGGTCTGGTGAGGATTTTGTAGACGAAAGGTTGACGGCGATGTGGCAAATTATGAGGAAAAAGTATCCGCTACTGTAACTAGTCATTATGGATCCAAATTTGGATTGGCCTCCCGTCGTGGGTAACCAAAACAGGCCTTTATTTCGACATTTACCGACCATGGACCTTGAGGAAAGGGATCATTTCCATTCAATGAGCTCAAATCGGAAAATAGTCTCCACATACACAGTCCTGGCTTTTCGCACGTTTATTACTACAGGTCATCAGCACCATAAAGCCACTTTGCTGCCTCCTTCACAATACACTCCTCCATTGTCCTCAGCTCATCCTCGTTCCTTGGGGCATACACCATGAGAACCCCTTGGCGCAAGGCTAACCACGAATCGTTCACCCCAGGCCTTTTCGATACCCGCCTTTGCGTCCGCCTCACTTAGCCACACATGTAGAGAGTTATCATGCAGATGGATATGTGCGCTCTCGTTATCTAATGTATAAACCGGCTTTTTGGCAACAAGATTCAGCTTGGGATTGTCGGCACGAGCATGAAGTGCGGATGTAGTGCCTCCTTAGTTTGGCTAGCTCTGATCTCAAAAAGGTCAGGACGTGACGATCCCAGGGCGGGGACCAAGGCGTGGAGTTTGTTCTGGAGATCACTAGACAGCTGTTCAGGAGCCTGCCGATGAGGCAAAGGCAGGAATAAAATCCGGACAGCTGGTCCTTATCGTGTCGGCAGTTCGTCATCCGGGATCAGTCTTGGGGAGTATTTTTGCAGACAGTGACGAACTATCTCGAGTATTGTGGAATTTAACCTTGTTGACGAGGCCAAGGAGCAAGCTTCGAGAGTTAGCCGTATCGATTAGACGGGCTTACGCCGACGCCAAAGGACCGCCAACGTTGGTAATCGCGGACCACCCACATGCCGACCACCAACGAGCCTGTGGCAATGCCGACCGCAGCTGGGACAGGAATTCTATTGTCCCTGAACGAAAAGTGTTGCTGAAATGGAGTATGTGGCGTATGAAGCGATCTTTCCACATCGTCTAGCGGAGTGAAAGAATACACAGCATTGAGTTCTCAAAGGGTCTGATTCTGTCGAATAAAAGAGAGGGAGGCATGGGACTAGACAAAATGAACGTGAGAGGTAAGTCATCTGTTATATTACTGACCAGTCGATTAATGATCTATGTCGGTGAACGGTGAACGGGAAAGAAACGGAATCGGAATCGGAATTGCGTTTGTGCCGATCCCCACTTTTGCGACGTCGACTTTCCTGACTCGTAAACTTCGTGTTGCTTCTTTCATCCCTATCCGACTCCATGTGCCATGCGGACCATGCGGGCTATGCAGTCTAAATATGAAAATAAACCACACATTCATCATCTCCACATTGCATAAGTTATATATCATAAGAGAAATGTGCATAATTCCCTCTGTAATATCCCATCTTTGTTAGGGATGACCAAGGGAAATACCCTTCCACGTGAGGATATTAATTAGGGTGTCAAGACTGGAGCTATATAATGCTCTTGTTCTCTCTTGTCCTACTATCTAACAATTACCCCATTGATTTTCCTGAACTTTGTTCTTCAACTCTCACTCGCCTGTGAAATCCTTGGTATAGTCAATCAATCTCCGTGCTAGCTCCTCAATCCCGAGACATCTCAGTTGCTAGACAAGGGATTTCGATCAAGTCTACCAGAATTGACAGTTTCCTAGCAACGACTTGCGAGAGACGATGCAAACAGTTGTCGAATACCTCCTTGGTTCGGTGTCACACCCGCTGTCGCTCCATCCACATGCCATTGTCCTCGGAACAACTGCTATATATCTTCTGCTTCAGAGGACGCTTCGATTTTTTCGTATTAAACGTATGATGACAAGTTATCCGTACAATAATCTAGAAAGTCTTGCCAGCATGACAAATGACCATGCGTACGAAATCCAACGGGATATTTTTCAGCTCGAATTTCCATACACAGCGGCAAAGGCCCTGGGGTACGCTTTGTTCAGGTATGGTGGTTTTTGTTGCGTGTTCCTCTGTCGCAACTGATTCCTCTTGCAATGATTCTCATCTCTTTTTCAGAACCTACGGTATCCCGAGCATCAGTAAGTTATTGGCGCAGACTAGGCAGCTGTCGGACCCAGCAAACGCCGGCAAGGTAAATTTACCCATCAACTTTCACAATGTTCGTGGCATATACTAAAGCCCATGAAGCGATCTGCAGATACTGGTGTTCTCATTCTCGAATTCCTAACCTCACCACCAAGTTCTGAGCGGGCAAACGCTGCAATTGCCAGGATGAATTGGCAACACAGGTACAAAATTTCAGAGGCATACTATGATGTGTCATTAGGCCCCTGGAAGAATATTCTAATAATGCTTTTGCAGCAACTACCAGAAAGCCGGAAAAATCAGCAATGATGACCTGCTCTATACACTGTCTTTGTTTGCGCTAGAACCGCGAAAATGGATCCAGCGTTATGAGTGGCGGTCACTTAATGAGATGGAACAATGCGCTTTGTATGTCTACATCAACTCTCTTTCCTTTTGACCCCTAGTAACCCGTGCCTCGTGACAGTGGCGTGTTCTGGAAATCCATCGGCGATGCCATGAAAATTTCGTATGACGGCCTTCCTTCCGCGAGAATAGGCTGGAAAGATGGCATTCACTGGCTCCACGAGGTTGAAGTCTGGGCTGAAGCTTATGAGAAAATCAATATGGTGCCGGATCTTATGAATCATAAGACAGCGAATGAGACGACAGCGCTATTCCTTTATGGCCTGCCAACCTTCATGCACAAGGTAGGGAAGCAGTTCGTCACGGCCATTATGGACGACCGGCTGAGGGAGGCGATCATGTGAGTACTGCCTTGTCGCGAGTCCTGTCGCGAGTCCACACACCAGGACATAACCCCATTGCTAGCTAGCAAGCCCCGACGCTAACGAAGAATGTTATCCTCTAGGTATCCCCGTAGTCCTTGGTACTCCGTTGCGATTGTCCAAGCGGCTTTCGCTTGCCGCAAATTATTCCTTTGCTATATTGCTTTGCCCAGGTTTACGCGGCTTCGCACTTTGTCGGAAGACAAAGACTCAAAGACGGGGCGGTATCATATGGAAGTCTATAATTCTGAGCCATGGTAAGTGCAACCTTGCCATATTGCACTACGGGAAGATGCCCCTTCTTGCTGGCGACAACCTGCTGATTGCCAGTTTTCGAGGAATAAAGGTATGTATCGGACTCCTTTACCCACCGTTGGAGTCTTCAAGCCATCCTGCGACGCCTTGTTGGCGCCCCTTATCCGTCGAAGGGATATATGCCGCAAGGCTATATAATCCAGGAGATTGGACCGGTAAATATTATTGGGAAGGGCCTGAAAGAATGCGATGAAGGAACAAGGAGGCTGATGGAGGCAGACCGAGGTGGCTGTCCCTTTGCTGTTTCTAAGAATTGAGGCTATCATGACCATTCCATGTGGAAGTTTTATCACTACGCGGACAAATTTTAGACGGCACGCAGGAACTATTCTATGCATCATCGGACAACAAACTATGGATCTCACTTCGCTGATCTACTTACAAGCTTTTGTTGTCAAAAGAAAAGAAATACAAATCTCCTCTCTATCCACTTTATGCATATTTATTAACCACCGAAGTTAACGTAATGAAGAGTTAGGACTCTGTAGTGCAATTCCCTGGCAAGAACCCGAGGTTATCGCTGTCCAACGAGGTCTCTTCCATTACCTCTTTCAAAATTTTGAGAAGTTCCCGTAGCCTCCTTAAAAGCTTATCAGTCTCTACTTTGAGATGCGCCACACCTCAAAGTTGATAGTCCAACGAAGACTGGCCCTTCTGTTGTGCTCCCATATTTGCAACCCATACGCGCAGCGCAGCCTTCCTAACTCATCTTGCTAACTTCACAACGAGACTTCTGTCTCAAAGCGTACTATATTACCTTGGCTGAGCAGATCTGTAAAATATTTGTTGCAGTCCTTGAGGACTGACGCAATTGTAGCCATAGTGCCTGCTGTATATGTATCTTGTCGATTTGAAGCAAATTCGGCAGCTTCCTCCATGCTGGTTCGATCTATCCACTTCAAGACCAGCCCATAGGGCAACTGTATGATGTTGGCGTCAAAAACCATGTTAAAACATGCACGGTACCCTCTGGATATGCAATATAATACTTTTTACACCAAATCCCAAACTCTTCGTCGGAGCTTTCCAGGTCAAGTCGGCACCTTCGAATCGTTTTGCAAACTGATGGGCCGGGCTAGGGCTCCGAAAGGAATATGATTTTTCATGAAGATTCATGAATATTTGCTAGTATGAATAATATGAATTGTGTTGAGTATCACGGTGGTCAAAGCATATGGCGGGGACTACCAAGAGATATGTAAATAGATGAGTCCCACCTCCGAAAAATGAGACATCAGGTCTGGATCAGACATCACATCATCGTCAAATATCGAAACGACCCTCGCCCATTTTTGAGGCCCGCAAGAGAAAGGGCGGGCCTGGAACAAATGCTGATACAATGGGTCGCTCAGAAGATACAGCCTTTTACGGTTGTGGAGCATCCGGCATTCAGGGCACTTTTTGCAGCGACAGGGGCTACTTGCCCATCAAGACGGCCGACACTCTCTTCAACAGAATCAAGGAGGATTTTGGGAAAAGCAGGAATTGTATGAAACAAGAATTAGCCAGCAGGAGTCGCACACTTTCGTTGTCTCTTGATGTTTGGACATCAGAGAATCAGATAACGATCATGGGCATCATTGGTCATGGATCTCACCCGAGTTTGAGAACCGAGAAGAGCTTCTTGTGTTCACTGACATATGTGAACCGCACGCTGGGGAGAATCTTGCCGAAATCGTGATGAGAATGCTCGAGGAACTAGATGTCACGCCAAAGCTTCTCACAATCACGGGGGAAAATGCTGCCAACGACGGAACACTCTGCGGGGTAGGGGTATGATTGATTGCGGTAGTGGTTGTTGTCGCTTTTGTTGCCGTGGTAGTGGTAGTAGTGCTGGCCGCTCGTCCCACACAGTAGTAGTAATCTGGCCACAGCCCAGAGCAGTCTCCATTGAGAGCTGTATTCCAGGAATACAAGTCTGCGATTAGAATCCGCTCCACAGAAGCGATATCGTAGCAGTTGTCATTGCTTTGGGCGAGATAGAATTTTGTGCAGTCACCCACCATTCCGCTCTGGGTTGGCGTTGGCGTTGGCGTTTGGTCGCCCCCGGCGGATGTTGGTTTTGTGGTGGTCGTGCCGCTAGAAAGCAGTCCCACACAGACATAATAATGTGGATATAAGCCAGAACAGTCATCTTTTAGGGCGGGATTCCACAACTTCTGTGCAACATTGCCAGATACCTTACCTGGTATCAATTATCTTTTGTCTCGGATATTCAAGCCAATGATCCCAGTGCGGGCCAAGATAGGCAGTGATAATCCCTAGCATATAGGCTCCAGCGTCCTGGACTTGCCATAGGTGCCGCCCATGGTGAAGCAACAACGCATAATATGCCAGTATTATCAAAGCCTCTGGAATTTTTGCGGCCAACAACGCGGTGAACTCCGCTGAACCCAGCATAGGCCATGTGCAAAGCATATGAAATCGGTTCCCTTGTTCCTCGTCAGCCAACACTGCATCAAACCCAACCTGCAGATAATCAATAACCATCAAACATGTCCTCTTTTCCTCTTCTGATAGCAGTTTCGAGCTAATTATCAGCTCCCTGGCTCTTCGACATTCAGGGCCCCTTGGCGACCGTGCAGTAAACTGTGAGCTCCACGAGAGAATAGGCTCAAGCTCAGACTCCATCAACTGCGGCCAAGCTGTCATGGCAATCGTGTGGATAACCCTATGCATCTCGACAAACTGTACATAGCTTGTCATGAAATCATGCAAACCGCCCCGATCTCGTTTCGCGAGTGTGTCCGCAAGAAGATGGTGGCCTAGGATAGACGAGAAAAGAAGAACAGCGACACAGTTGGATTGATTGACTTCCGTGCCAACGGCAGTGAATAGTGATGCAGCTCGGGTCTGGAGTGTGACAGCTTGGTGGAGATAGGCAGCTGAGCGCTCGGGGTGAAGATATGCCATATGGCGGGCGGAAAATGCAAGCAGCTGATGCAAAAGATATGGTGACTCTAGACCTGTCTTCAGTGCGAAGGCAATCTCGGAGCCTGAGGGTTCATCGTTGGCGGTCAGGCCAAGACTGAGGACGTCTTTGTCTGTGGTCAAGTGAATGAGAAGTTCCATATGCTTGAGGTTGATATTCTCTTCGGAGCTTTGTCCTTGGTGACTTTGGGCATTCTGTGCCCTGTGAGAGTGTGGGTTGGACAGGGATATGTTGGTCTGAGGGAAGATACAAGGCAAGGCCTCGCGCCTTGGGTTGTCCATACTGCTTGGGCTTTCATGTCGATTATGAGATAAGACCTGGTCTGTATAACTGCATTCTCGCTCAGAATTGATGCAGAGTCGACATACTGGGCGGCCCTCGTCACACTGGTTTGCAAGGACTCGGATCAGCCCTGTAAGAGGATGCATGGCAGAGCCTTACCTTGATATGCCGTTGTCTACTAGTTAACAAAATTAGTTGCCCGTATAAGAGGAAAAGCCCCGAAGACTCGCGCCACTCGACTCACCATTGTAAGCAACCCGCTCGTGATTTCTTATGGCGGCGACGCAGCATATCGCAGGCATTCGGTGATGATAGGAGGATGTGTGCAAGTCAAACACGCGTATTATGGCTTGGTGTCAAATCGTTTGGACACAATAGGTCCTGAAGCACTATACATGTATTTGAAAGTCGAGGATCTTGCTTAGATCAGTGGCTTGGAGGTGAGAGAAGTGGAGCCCGAGCCTACCTTGGAGCCTAGCAACACAGACCCTATATCTCTCCAAATCGAGCAGCTTTAGTCCCTTTTGAATAATATTCAAAATATCTACAGCATTTTACTTTTCAAATCTAGCGATAGCAGCTTCCTAATGATATCCGAATGGAAAAGAATACCGGTATACTGTGATGTTTCGGACTTTGGCACTGCCCCAGGTATGTGTTGGCTGCTAATACGCGTGTTAGCTAACACGCGTGTTCGGTTACATCCCGAGGTATCCATACCCAAGAGGGACGGTTTGTATATCCCAACACCCGACCGTAGTTTTTATTTCGTTGAATAGTAGATTCCAATGCAGCGAGCTAGCGTAGTGGGGGCTCAAAGAGAATTATGGACTTAAAAACAGCTCTTTCGCTCTTAGATGAAGATGACTTGGAATTCTCTCCCTATCTCGCAGTATAAGCAGAACTTCTATTCGATCTGACATGCCAACTCTCGAAACCTACCAAGACGTCTATATATGGCACTATGTACCGAGCTTACCCCTCGCTGCCACTTTTGCCTCTCTATTTGGTCTTGGAACTGCAGCCCATGTCTGGAAAATGAACAGAAAGAAGATGTGGTTTTGTCTCCCCTTTGCTTTTGGCGGAATCAGTGCGTTTAACCTTGTCTACTATTTGTAGCTTATACAAAACTGAACTGACACTTTGAAAATTCCCAGGTGAAGTGATCGGCTATGCTATGCGAGCAGCGTCGTCCTACAACACGGGCAACTTGATATTATACGTTCTGCAAAGCGTTTTCCTCGTCATACCCCCAGTGTTCTTCGCAGCAACGCTGTACATGGTATACTCCCGCATCATCAGAGCCGTCCACGGAGAGCTATTCTCCTTAATCCCCCTCCGCTGGGCCACAAAACTTTTCGTCACGGGCGACATACTGTGTCTCTTAATTCAGGGAAATGCCTCTGGTCTGTTGGCCAACTCAGAAACCACCCTCACTGGTGATTACATTATCATCGCTGGACTGGTTTTGCAGATCATCATTTTTGTCTGCTTTATCGTTTGTTGTGTGATATTCAACAGGAGGTTTCGGGTACATATGGCTGAGACTGGGGATGTGAACGATATACCTTGGCAAGCATGTCTCAATATGCTATACATGACATCGACGGCTATCCTCGCGAGGAATATCTTTCGGGTTGTGGAGTTTTCTATGCAATCAGTGAACGTGACCGGCTATCTTGTCACTACCGAATGGCCGCTGTATGTGTTTGATGCTGCATTGATGCTTCTGGTGATGATTGGCTTCTTTGTATGGTATCCGAATCGACTGCAAAGTAGGCCAAGAGACCTTGGCATGGATCTTGCGACAGGTGGTGCGCCACCTGAGGGTAGGAATCATGTTTCCAGTTCCGATAGCTTTTGCGAAATGCAGGTTCTCTGCGGGACAAGGTTGGAGCCGAAGGAGAGAGTGGGATGACCATAGATAGCGCAAAGTGAGTGGAACGGAATATCCTAATGTATTGAAAACCCGACTGTACATACATTGTGGAAATGTGGAAATGTGGAAATGTGGGAATAGAAGGAAAGAATTTGAAAAATCCCTTGTCTTCAAATCTTAGATAAACAAACTCAATTCACTGTCACTTCCATCCGCTTCTTCATAGTCCTCTGTCTCGCCCAGGTCCAGCATATCCTCTACCTTCTCCACGCAGCTTGCAACATAGTCTCTCACCGAGTTATACTGGTTGGTACTACCCATCCAAGGTGCCCAATGCCAGTACCTATACTTGTTGTCTTTGTGTTCTCCATCCTCATTCCATGCTCTGGGGCGCATGTAATAATGATAGAATGAATCGCTTTCTGACCCTGTTTGAAGCTCAATCAGATCACTTGAATCAAAAATCTCGTCATCTTCTTGTGTACGGCTATCCCACGAGTACTCTGCGTCCCCATTGGCGAAGTCAATATATTGAATACCGGCTATGCCGCCCCCGAAAAGATGCCCCCCGCCCTTGAAACTAAGTAATCAGGTTAGCCATGCAAAGCGGAAAATTTCCCAAGTGAAAGGTAGTAAGAAAGTCGTACCCGTTCGCCAGTCGGACCATCGCTTTGAAGTCATCCGGGAGTTTTCCAACCTTTTTCTCAGCTTCCTCAATCTCCTCCTCGGTAGCAGGATCATACAAAATTTCCTTGGCAGTCTTAACACCCATAGCCCGATACTCCTTGGGATGCGTCTTGAATGCACCTTCCGCAAGTCGGTCCAAAAGCTCCCGCCATCCAACCTTTGATTCATCCAGCGCCCATTGTCTCCCATGTTTGGCCCGCAGCTCCAGGGCATCAATGATCTCCTTCACCATCACCTCAGCATCCGCCTTAGGGATGAAAAATGGATTGCTTTCCTTGCCACCCTGAGCCAACAAAGGCAAAATATTATATACACCAGGAATCATGAGAAAATCTCCCAATTCACCCCCGTTCACAAATCCGTCCACCCTCAACGCTTGGCTCAAGAGATCCGCTGCAGTCTGGAATTTTCCCAGCCGTATTGCTAACTCCACAATAAGCCGCCGGTACAAAAGCCAGCCCTGTCTCTGTCTATTTTCTGGTCTGTTCAATAGCCATTCACTGAGAGGGATTTCGGGGATAGCGTAAAGCTTCTGTCCAGCAGCAAGTGCTTCCCGCATTTTGTCCTGTGACGGATACGTGCCTGGAGTGGTTGTTTTCGCTAACAACCGAGCACACATGGCCAGCATGATTGGATCATCTGTGTCGCGCCAGATCGATGGGTCTTCTGGCTCGGCGAGCCCATAGTGATCCAGCATCCAGCCTGTACGAGTGCATTCGCGATATTTGCCCCATTGTTCTTGGGCTAGATATGTTTCAAGTGGGCCGCGACTGGATTTTGGTGCATCTTCTGGTCGGGGGAAGATTTCTTGGTGTTCTTGCCAGAAGATTTCCAGTGAATTTGGTGTGTATACTGGTAGACGGACCCTCTTCTCGCTGGTTTCAGATAGGTTCTTTGCCAGCCTAAACACCCCGGAGGCAATTTCGTGGGCCTCTGTGAGATGATTCGACAAGAGAAGGAGATGTGCCAAGCGCAGGATATTGTGGGCCGCAATGGAGGGGTCTTCGGGATCAATGTAGGACTTGATGAGCCTGGGGAGTGAGTTGAGAGCTTCTGTGTCGACCCATTGAATGACCATGTTGAATCAGGATTGTGAAGAAATAAAAGGAGATTCTACCTGACATTGAGAGAGTGACAGGATTTGATGGGATGTCTTCTATCTGAAAGGAGGCTCCAAACTCGGTCTGATGATGTGGGGAGTGTCTGCCTAGTCTAGCTGTATAGAGGCTAGGGCGGTTCTAACTGTCAACCTTCTTTGGGGGCCATACACACGAATCTTTGGCAGTTGTACATACAGGAGCGATTCAGATTTTAAGGCGACGGAAATATACATAAAGTGATACGAGTTTCGACGTGTTCAAAAGTGATAACTAGGAATTGGTAATTATTTTGTCTATGTTATGCTACACTACGATGATGGAAAGGATTAGAAAGAATTAGAGCGGTATGTATTAAGCAGAGATAATTTTACGTATATGATGGTATATCATAAGGCAATGAATCTCGAACAAATATGAAGCACAAAAACAAAAGAAAGGTATACCACAGGGCCTCTGTAACTTTTCCTCCGGAGGGAGCACGATCGCAAATAAGCGAACTGCTTACAGGATGGAGCCAAGGGCAACGCAAGGAAGACCGGCACCAACAAGGTCGGAGTTGGCGCTGGAAGGAGAGTTGGCACAGCAGGCAATGTTCTGCTTGCAGCGCTGGTTGAGGATGTCCTGGATGGGGACTGCGATGATGATGGGGACTGCGAGTCGGTTAGTATGGAGACCACTGGATTTAACATTGAGAAGAGCTTACTCTGGACGTCGAGCTTGGAGCACTGGTCGAAGATACCGATTCCGTCGGCACCGGAGCCAGCACCGATCAAGTTGCTGAGGGTGCCGCTGAGGATGCTGGAGTTGACGTCGGTGGTGTCACCAGCGTAGGTGGCCTTGTTGCAGCAAGAGAGCTGAGCCTGGTCACCACACTTGGCCTGGGCCTCCTTGACGGTCATTCCATCGGGAACCTTGAAGCGGGGACGCTCGTGGCCCTCGACAGAGTTGTTCAGGGCCTCAGCAGGGGCAGCGGCGGCGAAGCCAGCCAAGGCGAGGATGACAGCGGAGATAGTGAACTGCATTGTGCAGGTAGAGGTATTAAAGATTAAAATCTTGTAATATAAAAATGGTTTGAAGGTTTGGAAGATAGAAGATGGAGAGAGATAGAGAAGTAGAGAACCGTGGTGTGAAAGAAAGAACCAGAAGGCCACTCAGATGGATCCTTTTATCTTCAATTTCTCACTGTTTAGGCACGAGCTGATCGACAACCGTTCATAGTAAAGGCCAAAAACAATCCCCCATTTTTGCTCTCGGAATGCCCTACGCAAGGGTTAGATCCCAGCTTGCCCCGATTATCTCTACCTCCTGGCGATCCCATTGGCCCTTCCCTTGTTCCGGAATTTTATGATCAATTAAACGTGCCCCTTAGTTCCTGGAGATGCATGAACCCTGCATGCCGCCCTGCCAGTGGCATCCTTGGAGGCTACGCTACGCTGTGGTTCATTTCGGAATCAAAAATATACCGCTTTTGGACCACAAT